CCTACACTGCAGGTGAGCCCCGCCCCATCACCGTGCACTGCAGGTGAGTCCCACCCCCACCACCTACACTGCAGGTGAGCCCCGCCCCATCACTATGCACTGCAGATGAGTCCCACCCCAACCACCTACACTGCAGGTGAGGCACCAGCGCATTCTGCACACAGACACAGGCAGCCCCTGATCTCCCCTTCCCTCCCCTCTCCTCTTCACCCCTCTCCTTCCTTGTCTCCCCTCCCCAGCCCTCCCACAGGCTCTCTCTGCAGGTCCAGCTTGGCATTCACTGCCCACTGAATGGCAGCCACAGGCAAAGGCATGGCTGTTTGATTCTTGAGTGGTGCTAATTTGCTCCTGGACATTACTGTGACAGCCAGTGACTTCCACTGGTGTCCCTCCACTCCATCCCTGTGGCCAGAAAGGCAGCTTGGGGACAGGGGTCGGGCACTTTCCTTGTTTGGGGCACACTGGGTTAAGCGCTTGGCTGCTAACTATAATATCGGCTGTTCAAACCCACAGACATTCACAGGAGAAAGCTGAGGCAGTCTTCTGTAAAAGAGACCGCCCTGGAAGCCCTAAGGAGTAGTTCTACTCTGGCCTGTAGGGTGACAGGAATGGACTCAAAGGCAGCCGGGTTTGGGTGTGGGGCAGGCTACCAGCCTGGCCAGTAGGTGGCGCACAAGGCCGGGTCCTCCGATTCCTGCTTGGTGGCCTTTTGACCTCCTTTGTAGTTACTATGTGTCATGGAGTCGGTTCCGACTCATAGTGACCCTGTACAGGGTTTCCGAGGTTGTAAATCTTTACGGGAGCAGAAAGCCTCATCTTTCTCCAGCGGAACAGCTGGTAGTTTCGAACTGCTGACCTTGCGGTTGGCAGCCCAATTCGTACGTCACCACTACACTACCAGAGCTCCTTTAGTACACACCCTTTCTGTCCTGCTCTTGTATCTGCAAACCCCCAACCAAGAGCTTAGCCTGCACAGGGCACCCCGTCTGTGGTCAGGTTAATACAGCAGGAACAGAGACTTAGGGGCAGATTACAGGGAGGCCATGGACCCAGAAGACACCTGCAGGGGAACAGCTGACTGAGCCTCCCTGGAAGGTCAGGCTCTGGTCTTGCTGGGCTTCTCCAGCTTCTAGAAAAATGATGGTCTCAAGTGGCAGGGACTCAGTTAATGGCCGTACACACCATCTGCCCACTGTCCCTGCAGTGACACCCTGTCTTCTTGTTGTGAAGTGCTGTCCAGTCAGTTCCAACTCATAGCGACCCTGTACAGGGTTTCCAAGGAAACCTTGAGGTTCAAGCCAAACTTTCAGTCTAGTGCTTATTCTACAGTACCACCCCAGGACTCCCCCTCTGTCTTAACATCCCCTAACTCCTGCCTCTTGGCAGCACCACCTCGGCAAGGAGAAGTGGTCCTTCCCTAAAGCAAAGCATCGTGGTGACACAAGGGTTAAGCACTCAGCTGCTAACAGAAAGGTCATCAGCTGACCCACCTAGCAGCGACCGAAGAGAAAGTTCTAGAGACCTGATTACAGGCTAGGAAACCTTTGGGGGAAGTTCTCTTCTATAGCATGGACTCATTATGAGTTGGAGTTGACGTGACCTAAACAAAAAACCAAGTCTACACCACTGAGTTGACTCGAACTCATGTTGCTGGGATAGCTCCTTAGGGCTCCCAGGGCTGTAAATCTTCATCAAAACAGACGGCCTCCTCATTCTCCCATGGAGCGTCGGGTGGGTGTGAACCGCCGACCTTGCAGTTAACAGCACAAGGCTTAAATCACTGCATCACCAGAGCTCTTTTGACAGCACACAACAACAAGATTTGTACCAGGAGGGCTTGCATTTCTAACAAGTTCCTAGGTGATGCAGATGTGGTTAGTCCTAGGGCCCCACTTTGAGACCTCTGGTGAACACACAGTAGTTAAAACACTTGTATTTTAATTGGTCCAGATCTGATTCATGTTGTATTCATCTACTGTTAATTAGAATTATTGTTGTGAAGTGCTGTCAAGTCGGTTCCGATTCACAGCGACCCTGGATGGGTTTCTAAGGAGCTCTGGTAGCGTAGTGGTTACGAGTCAGTCTGCTAATGTCATGGTCAGCAGTTCGAAATTACCAGTCAACTCCATGGGAGAAAGATGAGGCTTTCTGCTCCCATAAAGATTTACAGTCTCAGAAACTCTATGCAGGGTCACTATGAGTCAGAACCGACTCCACAACACACCACCACCAACTATAGGGTTTCCAAGGAGCAGTTGGTGGGTTTGAACTGCCCAACTTGTGGTTCGAAGTCCAGTGCTTATCCTACAGTGCTAGAATGGTACGTTTGCTTAATTTTATTCAAGGGAAATCAACATATAAATGGGCATGAAGATCCTCTGTTTTTGATGACTGTTGCATCTCTCTGTGCTGGTATGTTGTGAACGACCAGCTACTTCCTATCCCCGTCTTCAAGGTGGGTTACCTGCCTGACATGCTCTCCCCCCACAGTGCTGGAGCTGGACGAACGGGTACATTCATCGCCCTCAGCAACATTCTGGAACGAGTGAAAGCAGAGGGACTTTTAGATGTGTTTCAAGCTGTGAAGAGTTTACGACTTCAGAGACCACATATGGTGCAAACCCTGGTAAGACGCTGAATGATGGAGAGTTTCCAGAAGAGCTGAGAATTGTGTTATGTTGTATTTGATGTATGTTTCATTAAAGGAACCCAAGTGTATGACGCAAGGGGAGGTAAAATTCCCAGGGACGAGAGCTAATGGGAACTTTGTACATGAAACTGTACAGACCCCTTCTTCCGCGGGGTGCTGACTCAGGTCTGTTCTCTGGGCTTACCTTTGGCTTTCAAGACTAAGACCTGGGATGGGGTACTGCTGACAGCAACTTCTGAGCCAGAGTAAGCTTTCTTAGGGGTTCCCAGAGTTTGACTTGTTCAACTCAGAGTTACCACAAACCTCCAATCCTTCAATTTGTTAAAAAAAAAAAAAATTATACATATATAGATATTGGAGTCCTGGTGTGGTGCTGTGGGTTAATGTGTCAGACTGCAAAGTCATTTGAACTGCAAGGTCGGTGGTTCAAGTTCACCAGCTGCTCCTTGGAAACCCTATACAGGGTCGCTGTGGGTCAGAATCAACTCGACAGCACTTAACAACAATAATATATATGTTTTTATTGAGTTTCTGAGGCCATAAATCTTTATGGGAGCAGAAAGCATTATCTTTCTCCCGTGGAACAGCTGGTAGTTTCGAACTGCTGATCCTGAGGTTAGCAGCCCGATTCATAACCACTTCCAAAAAAAATATGGCCCCAAATCCTCCTTCCACAACCCTCTCTACTCAGCTGGGTTCAAGAATCCATTACAATGACCACACAGAATTCAGAGACCACACTCTCAGTTTATTAGGGAAGCTAACAGATTAGAATAGTTGTTGTTAGCTGTCATAGAATCAGTACAGACTCATAGCGACTTTTTATGCACAGCAGAACGAAACACTGCTCAATCCTGGGCCAACCCCACTATTGTTGCCACACTTGAGCCCACTGATGCTGCCACTTTGCAATCCATCTCGCAGGGGGTCTTCCTCTTTTTCTCTGATCCTCCACCTTACCAAACATGATATCCTTCTCCAGCGACTGGTTCCTCCTGACAATATGAAGTATGAGAGAGGAAGTTTGGCCATCCTGGCCTCCAGGGGGCGCTCTAAATTAGGTATCTGAAGACGCCCAGGGCACTGTTGTTTCAGCTGCTCCACCGGAAGCCTCAGCCTGAAGGCACCCGGCTCTAGCTCTGTGGGTCAGCAAACCTTAAGGGCCCAGAGGCAGCCCACTCGACAAGCAAAGTCACTCAGCTGTACTTGCTCCGGGAACCGGGAAGTGTGGTGTTCTGGTTCCTGCTGCTGTTGCTCGTCTCCCTCTCCTCCCGGGCCATGTTCCCTGGTGGAGGACGTTCAATGCGCAGGGATCTCAGGGGTCCAAAGGACACACTCCCCTCCTGGCTAATTTTTGATAGTAGTGAGATCTCCCCTCCTGGCTTCTGAGACGGTTCGTTTTAAATCCATATACTAGATTTACCACTTTTTACAGTGAGAGTGAACTCTACTAACATCCACAGCTGAATCATGGCATCTCTTTATTACCTTCTCCCACCTTCTCTTACCCAGCCCCCGCAGGGCAGAAACACTGAGAGTCACAGACTCTAGCTAGATCATTCACTACACCACACCTGTCTTATGAGAGAAGGTTGAACCCAATGTGTTGGAGAAGAAGACGCGGGTTGCTGGGACTCTTGTACTTCCCAAGCTCTGGACTACAGGTCCCACACGTTCCTGTTCCACTGGGCCAAGTCAGTTACCAGAGTAATTAACTGGTAATTAACCTGACCCTCTGACAGATGGGTTAGCCGCCTTCTGTTGTACTTTAAGCCTTTGGAGGCCCTCCCCATGCTCCAACTTTACACCATGTGGCTTTCCAAACACTCACAGCACGCTCACTTTCTGAACCTCTTTCTTTCCAGTTGTGCCCACCACAAGGGCTTAGAGGCATCGCCCCCTGGTCCCCACAAACCCACCTCTAGTCTAGCCTGCCTTATAGGATGACTGGGAGGGTCACAGGTAAAGAACACGTGAAGACCTTTTCATAACTGAACACATCTGAGAAAAATGTAGAGAAAACAATACCCCTTTGAAGAATAAATTTAGGTTTCAAAATAATCCTGGTTTTTTCATTTCATTTAACTTTTAGAATCTTTACTGCATTAGGAAGTCTATCTGACACTTTGTGCACTGATCTTTTTGGTTTTTCCAGTTCAAAACTAGTTGTTTTCCAGTTTAAATAAGAACGCTCCAGACATTTTTACCCAGCCTGTTCTAAAATGACCTAAGTTGGAAGGAAAGATCGACATTTGCTGCATTGAAAGACAGCTTACCCATTCATGTGCCTGATAACTGAATTCTGTAGCAGAAACTAAGTGTCTAAGGCCATATGGCATTTTAATAATTAACTTTTTTGTTTGATTTGCTCAAGTTTCTGTCAAGAGATTTTTTACAGTCATTTTAATGTATTCATTTTCTGTTTGTTTTTCAGGAACAGTATGAATTCTGCTACAAAGTGGTACAAGATTTTATTGATATATTTTCTGATTATGCTAATTTCAAATGAAGATTCTGCCTTAAAATATTTTTTAATTTAATGGTCAGTATATTTGTAAAGATCATGTTAATTTATTTCATAGTTGATATTAATATTCTTCCTAATTTCTTTGTACATATTTTGTTAGGCTTTACAAACCACTTGCTATAAATCCATCAAGCCGTAAATACCCTTTGTAAAAACTGGAATAACGTATGAAGGTCAAATACTGTCCCACTCACATCTTTCTCTGCTACCATGCATAAATATTCCCATTTTTCCATGCGATTCATATCATTGAAATCCACACGATGGGCACTTAGAAACATTGGCCATGTTGATATGCCAAGTGTGCTTACACAAGATGCTCTCAGCCTAAGCTTCGTTACTGAGAATGCAGCCTAAGATTCAGAAATCCAGCATCCTAACACTGATTGTGCAAGCTTGAGCAGCAGCATGTGCTTGCTTATTTTTTTTTAAGGCAAGCTATTCGCTGTTGGTGACGATCCAACATAAACAGGGAAATTTCTAAGATCCCTAGGCTTAGCCACTGTGGTTTCTTTTCACATTTTAAAGTCAAAGAGGGTGAACAGCCTTGTGTAGAACTGTACGGTTTGTTAAGTGTCATCGAGTCGGTTCAGACCCATAGCGACCCTGTATAGGGTTTCCAAGGAGCGGCTAGTGAGCTTAAACCTTGCAGTCCAGCGCATTAACCCACAGTGCCACACCAGGATTCTGATAACCGTACAGTTGGAGAATCCAAAATCTGCTTACTCAAAGTCGTGTCTGTCCAGCCTTGGCTGGCAAGGAGACTCCTAGGGGCTGGCTGGTCCTGCCTGCCCACCCATGTCCTTGTCGCCCTCTACAGCTCTGCTTGCTGTCTATCCCTCTTTCTGTTGAAATGACCCTCTGTGGTTCACACAAACTACATTTCTATGCCTCCCTCTTCGGTGGCAGCCACCTGGAATATCATGGACTCTACCAAGAGGTTCATCCCACATGTTCTGGGGAAGCTGGACCTTGGGGCAGAGACCATCATGTGACCACTAGCAATTACTTTACATTTTCTGGGAAGCATTTTGCTGTTTAAAATTCTCTTGTAAAAAGCTGAGATTGTTTGTAAAGGAGAAAAAAGTCTTGAAATCTATTTAGATTTCTACAGTTTTTAAAATCCCAGCCGGCAATATTTAATAAAAGAAATAAGAGAGAGCCACACAAACTAACATCTTTGGATCAAGAAATCCCTTTAAGGTGAACTTTCTCAAGAGAGAAATGCTTCATCTAAAAGCTCACTAATTTTTTTATGGAAATAGTACTGCGACCTTTGGCACTGGAAAGCTGGAACCCTTGTCAGACAGGGCAGCTTAAGAGGCACAAAGCGGGGAGGGGCGGCCAGGGCACTGAGGGCCAACATGTGTAATGTGATAACAATTCTGTCTCTATGACCATTAGCAGATAAGCACAATACAAAAAAAGAAATGACATTTGGTCTAGTTTACTAAAAGCATTTACCATGTGCAATTTTGGGGTACACTTTTTTTTTTTTTTTTGCTTTTCAAGAACTATAGAAAGGCCTTACGTGATGGAGCCACTGGTACAGGGTACTGCCTCCTCTTGCACTTGCTGCCTCCCTTCCTTTCTAGCGGTGTGGGTGCATTGTAGGGGAAAGCCCACTCTTGCCTACCACACCCAGGGCTGCCCGCCAGGAGGCGCCCTCCCCCTTGAACCCAGGCTGTGCGTCACGTGGAAGGAGAGGGAAGGTGCCTTGTACTCTCACTGTTAAAACTCTGGCCCACGAAGGGGAAGGCGGGAAATGAGCCAAGAACCTGCGCCACTTTGTTCTGATGACGGTGCCGCGATGCTGGTCGTTCACCGGCGAGCTCGGAGTCCAATTCCAGGGCCGTGGATCCATTTAGGAGCCCTTAACCAGAACTGTATAGAGCCCTGGTGGCTCTGTAGGATAAGCACTGGACTGCGAACCACAGGATCGGAGGTTCGAGCCTGCCAGCCATTCTGCTGAAGAAAGATGAGGCTTTCTGCTCCCACAAAGATTTATAGCCTCGGAAACCCTAGACAGGGTCGCTATGGGTCGGACCGACTCCATGGCAGTGGGTTTTGGTTTTGGTAACCAGAACCGCGTAGGTCCTTAATAGACGAAGTGGTATCTTTGTATCAAGAAGTCCCTTTAAGGTGGACTGTCTCAGGAGCGTCCTCAGGTGTTTCCCCTGCCCCGTTGGGTTGGTCCGTCCCCAGGTGCCTGGTGCAGGTGGCCTGGCAGGTGTCCGCCCCTCCCAAGCCCCGCCCCTTCCCAAACAAACCGGAAGCCACGCACTCTCCTGGAGGCAGCACCTCCTCTTCAGGGCTTTTGCAGCTGCAGCTTCTGCCAAAGGTGTCCCTGGGAGGCAGAATCCATTAAACACTGGACTACTAACTGAACTCACCCCGAGGCAGCTCGGAAGTCAAGCCTGGAGATGTGCTTTCAAGGGATCACAGCCTTGGAAACCCCAAACAGCAGTTCTACTCTGCGCCACGTGGGGTCGCCAAGAGTAAACAGGAAAGTTAACCAGTCAGTCCCCTCCGGTCAAAGAAAGCCCACTGTACATACCAAAACTTTCAAGTCTTTCTATGTTGCATGCATTAAAATGCCAAATAACGATTGGAAGTTGCCCGTTCCGATCGGTCTGCTCACCGGTCACCGTGTGACCTCTCCCTTCCATTTATTCCCATGAGCTCGGTGGAGGCCAGTGCACACCCAGGTCTCAAGAGGTATTTTTATGTGTTTTTAAAAAAAACTTTTTTAAAGGAGCCTGACACCTGCGTGTCAGCATTTGGAGACATGCCCATGATTTTTAAAAACGTATGTTTACTTATACTTTTTGTTGTTGTTCTTTAACTAGATTGTGTTTAATTTATGTGCAATCTTTATAATATATGTATGCATTATAGTTTCCGCTATCATCTTTTCTTTTATGACATTTTTAATTTGATCTTGCGCTGATTATAATGCCAGTGAATGTTGCTGAATTCTTTGTATATGCAAATTGCAAGATCTAATAATACATTCTGATGCAAGGGATAAATCTTCACTTTGACTTTCAGCCTGTGCTTCTTTATTCAAGTCGTTTCCTTTCATTCTTGTGCCTCACATCTTCTTAGAGAAGACATTCAGTAGGAGGTGAGAAGTTTATTTATATTTATTGTTGTTGTTTTTAGGCGCCTTTGAGTCCGTTCTCTGTACAACGGAACACAACACGGTCTGGTCCTGTATCAACATTTGTTGTTTGTGCCCATTTGATGCTGCCACTGTGTCAGCCCATCTCATTGGGGGTCTTCCTCTTTTTTACTGACCCTCCACTTTACCAAGCATAATGTCCTTCTCCAGGGACTGGTCCCTCCTGACAATATGCCCGAAAAACAAGAAGAGAAGTCTCCCCAGCCTCGCTTCTAAGGAGCAATCTGGCTGCACTTCATCCAACACAGATTTGTTTGTTGTTCTGGCAGTCCATAATACTTTCAGTATTCTTCACCAACACCATAACTCACATGCATTGATACTTCTAAGGTCTTCCATATTTATATAGATATTTTAAGATTCTTAAAGCTTTGCTCGGGATTACCATATGATCCAACAATTCCACATTTAGATGTAGACCCAAAAGAATTGAAAGCAAACATTCAGACAGAAATGTATACAGCAAGGTTCATTAATATCAGCACTGTTCCCAGTCATCAAAAAGGTAGAAGTGACCCAAATGTCTATCAACAGAAGATGGAATCAACTAAATGCGGCATATACTTACAATGGAAAATGATTCCACCATAAAGAAAAATGAGTTTTCAAAATTATACTTGATGGCTGAAGTAAAAATGCTAACACTCAGATGTGATTTGAAATTAATGTAGCAGAAATATTTAGGGCAAGCAGATAAGCAGGGGGAAGTTAGAGGGGTAAAGAGAAGACACTAGTTAGCTGTAGTATGTTATGTGTATATAACTGAATACCTATAGCAGCCACTGGAACCCTGGTAGTATAGTGGGTTACACTTTGGGCTGCTAACCACAAGGTCAGCAGTTCAAATCCACCAGCTGCTCTTCAAGAGGTTCCTGAGGCTTACTGTTCCCATGCAGATTTATAACCTTAAAAACTCTATACAGGGTCACTATGAGTAAGGACCGACTCAACCGCACATAGGCAGCCAATTGTAGTAACCATTCAAAAAGCTATGTTGTTGCTAAGTGCTTTGAGTTGGTGACCATTAGCGACCCAGTATAGGGTTTCCAAGGAGCAGCTGGTGAGTTTGAACCACCACCTTGAGGTTCAAACGACTTTGCAGTCTGGCGCATTAACCCACAGTGCCACACCAGAACTCCCAAAAAGCTATATAGAGATATAAATTTCAAAAATAAAAAAGTGTAAAAATTGCTCAAGTAACCCACAGGAGGGTATGAAAAAGATCACAGAGAAAAAAACAGAACAAACAGAAAACAGACAAATAAAACGACAGACTTAAGCTTTAACTTACCAATAATGACAGTAAATGTAAATTACTTAAATGCACCAATTAAAGATAGAGATTGTTGTTAAGTGCTGAGTCGGTTCGGACTCACAGTGACCCTGTACAGGGTTTCCAAAGAGCAGCTGGTCGGCTTGAACTGACAACCTTGTAGTTCGCAGTGCAGTGTTTATCCTACAGCGCCACAGTGGATTTAAAAACATAACCCAACTATATGCTTCCTTACAAGAAACACATTTCAAATGTAACACCATGAGTGTGTTGTTGTTATTATGTGCCGTGGAGTCCGTTCCGACTCATAGCCACCCTATACAGGGTTTCCGAGGCTGTAAATCTTTCCGGGAGCAGAAAGCCTCATCTTTCTCCCGTGGAACAGCTGGTAGTTTCCAACTGCTGACCTGAGGTTAGCAGCCAATTTCATAACCACTACCCAACGAGATGGGTTGGCCAGGTAGCAGCACTGATGGACTCAGGCAGGCGTGACAACACTAGTGAGGTTGGCCCAGGATCGGGCAA